CTCTACCTCCTAAGGAGCTAAGATTACAGGAGTCTTCCCAAGCTTATTCCCTGATTCAGCATTTTATAGAGTTTAGTTTATTTAATCTCTTTTTTAAAAAACATTTTTATTAGTATATGATAATTATATAGGGGTTTCATTGTGGTATTTGCATATACACATATATCGTATCCTGGTTTGGTTTATCCCCTCCATTACTTTCTCTCTTTCCCTACTCCCCTTCTTAAAGTGACTTCGACAGATTTCAATGTTCCATATTCATACATATGTAGAAAGTACATCAACCACAGTCACCCTTCCCTACTCTCTTCACTTACCCTCCTCCTCCTGCTATTACCTTCTCCTTAACATGACCTATTTTACCATCCTGTCCTTCATTGTTTTAGTGTCTATTCACTGTTCAGTGGGGGTCTGCCTTGGCATTTTACCTGTAAATATATTTTACTTAATCAATCTAACCGCCCCCCACACTCTTCTTCCCTAACCTTTTCCTCTTACCCTGTATTGTTCTAGTTTCCAGTGTGTTTCACCCACAGACGTGAAGTATTCCAGTACTGACTTGCTATCATTCTTTTCCTCCTCCCTTAGTCTCCTCTAACAGTTCCATGTTTTGCATATATGTATGTTTGGTTTTTAATCTTTCACTATTGGCCTAATAATTGTATCTCTCTTTGTTGTGTTTGCTCTTAAGGTTTGGAATCTACACCTTTAATTTATCACATTATATCAAGTAACATCATATCACTTCACATTTAGAGTAAGAATCAAGCTGGTGAAGTGGCTCAAGTGGTAGAGCACCTGTTTAGCAAGTGTGAGGCCCTGAGTCCAAACCCCAGCACTTTCAAAAAAGAAAAGAAAAAAGAAAGATTATTTAGAGTAAGAATCAAAACAGTTCACTTCCATTTCTCCCTTCCTGTCCTTAGTACTAGTCATATAGTTTACTTCTATGTATATTCGAAGTCCCATGACATACTATTTTTCTTTAGCTATATCTTCAATACATCTGAAAATGAGAAAATAATAATTTACATTTACCCATTTATTTGCCACTTCTTTTGTACTGATGAAATTTCCTTTTTTGGTGACACTGGGGTGCCTCAGGATTACTAGGCAGGTGCTCTGCCAGCTCTAGATGAAATTTCTATCTGGCATCATTTCCTCCTTTCTAAAGAACTTTCTTAAGATATTTTTTTAGTTGTAGGATTCTCTCAGAGTTTGAACGATAAAGGCTTTTATTTTAACTTAATTTTAAAAAGAAGTCTTCATTCTTGAGTTTTTCCTTTTGGGTACCCTAAAAATGTTGGCTCAAATTAGGTGTGGGGGACTCATGCCTGTAATTCTAGTTGCGTGGGAGGCTGAGACTGGGAAGACTGCAATTTGAGGCCATGCAGGGTGAATAGTTTTCAAGACCCCATCTCCAAAGTAACCAGAGCAAGCACAAAGCCCTGAGATTAAACCCCAGTCTCATCAAAAAATAAACAAAAATTAAAAAATTAAAAATGTTGGCTCAGCTGTTCTGGCTTGTTTAGATTTTGACAAGAAGACTATCTTTCTTATTTTTATACATAATATAAAAATAAGCTATTTTAGAGATTTTTCTCTATTATTGGTTTCCAGCAATTGATTATGTGCCTTACTCTGTTTCTTCTTTTTGATGGGAGTGGGATTTGAACTCAAAGCTTTGTGCTTGCAAACCAGGCACTCTACCCTTTGTCACACCTCCAGTCCATTTTGCTCTGTTATTTTGGAGATGGGCTCTCTTAAACTATTTGTCCAGGGTGGCCTGGAACTGAGATCCTTCTGATCTTAGCCTCCTAAGTAGCTAGGATTACAGGCATGAGCCACTGGCACCCTGCTTCTTCTTCGTTTTTTTTTTTGTTGTTCAATTTTCATGTTTATTTTGCTTGGGTTTTGATAAGCCTTTTGGATTCTATGGGTTTATAGTTTTCATCAAATTTGGGATTCTTTGATCATTATTTCTTCATGTATTCTTTTCTATACTTCACCTTCTTTAAAGTTTAAATTGTGTGTGTATGTTAGATGGTCTTATCTTCTAACATAGTTTACTAGTGATCTGATTTTTTTCTTATCTCTGTTTCTAGTCTTTTTCTGTTTGAGTTCATTTTGGATAGCTTCCACTACTTTTCACTGATCATTTTTTCTGTGGATTCTAAGTGGCAATTCATCTCATGCAGTATATTTTTCGTTTCTGATCTTATGTATTTTTTATTTCAAGAAATCTGAGTTTGGCCTTTTTAACTATCTTCTGTTTCTCTCACTGTATTCATGTTTATTCTGACAATCTTTAATGAATTTCTACTATTTAAATTAGCTGATTTTAGGGTTGGACTTTGTTTTGGTGTGCAGTTGTTACTTACAGAGCAGTAACTTTTTTTTTTTTTAAATAGTACTAGGGATTGAACTCAGGGCCTTGTACTTGGTAGGCAAGTACTCTAGCACTTGAACCACATCTCCAGTCCTCAAAAACTTGCTTTTAAACTTGGTTGAGGTGTTTTACTCTAGGGCTAATTTAGCTCTAGTATTAAGACATAATCTACCCAATGCTTTGTGTATTACACTAGTCAAAAGGAATATGAATTACCCTTAGCTCCATATTCCAGGTATCACTCGGGGTATTAACTTTGGGGATTCTTTCCCTGTGCATTTTTATCCCACATATATGCAGAATATATAAACACTAGTCCTTGGTCAACAATTTGAGACCTCCCCAATATCTCTGCAACTCCTTCTGAGTAGTTCCCGCTTTTCTGGTACCCTGTTTTACAACTCTAGCTATATTAGGCTCTCCAAACTTTGTTTTGTGATTACTAGTTTCAGCAAATCTCCTGGTTTCTGTTTGGATTCCCCTCTCTAAACTTTACAAACTGCTTTTAAGCAGCGAATTAAATCACTTCAATGTTACTCTTCTTTCAAGAATTACAGCCCTATATTGCCCATTGTTCAGTGTCTGGAAACAGATATTTAATTTAGTTTTTCATCTTGTAGTTGTTTTATGATGAGAAGGCAATTACTACAGCAGTTAGTATTTCAAAGGCAGATGAAGAAGCACCCTACGTCCTTTTTTATTTTTAAATACCTGAAATGCAATTCTTTTCAGTTTAATGCAGGCTAGGTTAGAACACAAGTCATCCTTACCTTTGTAGATTTCTCTAATGGTTGATCATAGTGTGCCTGCTGCATAACATCACTGACTATCATTTTAGCAATCTTCCAAGCTAGCTCTTCTTGAGCCTAAAAGAAACAATTCAAGTTGTTGATAATGGTTACTCATTAGAAGAATCAGAAGCTTATAATCAGTGCTCCAAACATAACTCTATATGCTTATCATTTGGATAAGACACACTTATGTATGAAAGAATCCAAATGCCCTGCAGCTATGGTATATTAACATGTCATCCACTGCCTTGCAGAGTCAGCTAACTAGGTAGCTAACATCATGACTAATTTCATGTTAGATGTCAAACTATATCTTATCTTTTTCTACTCCTACCTCTCAATGAATTTAACCATTCAAAAAGCAAACTTCTTCTATAAGTAAAATAAACTGACAGAAGAAAAGGAAACATTTCAGCTTTTGTTTCTGCACTGACGACTGATGCCTGGTTGATGGATAGTCCTCAGTAGCCACAGCCTCTGGACAGAAGATACCTGTACTGTCATCTACAGGCAATTGATAGTTGCTAAGAAGGGCCACCCTTTCTTGTTACAACCTAGGAAGCACGATGGGTCATGCTGCTTAAACACAGAAATTAAAGAAAGAGAAAACTTGAAACCTTACGTAGAGAAGAGTAGTAAGTGTACTTTTATACTAAAAGTAGAATTTACCTCATCAGTATTTCCTTGTACCCATTTCTTCATAGCTTGTGAGAACATGGATCCTAGTAAACAAAGATAAAATTGAATGTGGATTTCACGCATAATTTTACATTTAAAATGTTCCTCCTACTTAAAAGTTGTTACTGATAGATATGGGTATTTTTTCTAGTATGATCTCACCTAAAACACTAAGGAATACGTTACTAGTAATAAAAACTGGTTATATTCATTCTATAACAGAGTACTCAACTTGCAAACATTATGGGTTTTTTTTTGTTTTTGATAGGACTGGGGTTTGAACTCAGGGCTTCATGCTTGCAAAACAGACACGCTACTGCTTCAGTCACACCACCAGTCCATTTTTGCTCTGGTTATTTTGGAAATGGGGGTCTCATGAACTGTTTGCCCAGGCTGGCCTCGAACCTTGATCCTCCCTGTCTCAGCCTCTCAAATAGCTAGGATTACAGGCACGAGACATTGGTACCTGGCCAACATCATTGTTTGAAATGCTTTTGAAAGCTATTTCAGAGTTATGGAATTTTCTTCTATTTTCCTCACCTGACAAAAGAAACTTTCATCTAATGTTACATTTGTAGCAAACATTAAAAACAAAACTAAAGATATTAGTCTTCAGTAAGAATCTTAACAACACATCAGAAAACACCAGTTCACTTGTATTTTCAAACCATCCAGACAAGCTCCTGTACAAAAGGGATTCTAGTACAGATTATCCTGCTACAAGCTAGATGCCTGGTCTGCATAAATTAGCTGGGGGAGAGCAGTGTTTTAGACAGCCATGCTCTATCCAAGACACAGTACACCTTAACTTCCTAGGACTCCCAGACTTGTATCTGCCCTCAGATGCTAAGGGACTACCAGGGAAGTGGGCTAACCTCTGTTTCCATGAATGAAATACACAGCTTATCCATTTATTTAATAATTCACTTCCTAGCATTGCCTAAATCAAGCGAATTATTGTTGGCGGATTATTTCTTTTTTCTTTTTTGGCTGTACTGGGGTTTGAACTTAGTGCCTCACGCTTGCTAGGCAGGCACTCTACCACTTGAGCCATTCTGCCAGCCCGGGTAGATTATTTCTTAAGGCAAGGTCCTGATAAATTCACCAACTGACTCTAGCCCTAAGGCCTAGACAGAACATTCTTGAAAAGTACAAAAACTGGGTCCTTTTTCTTTCAATAATTTTTATTATTACTTAGGGTTTGGATACTGGTCTGGTCAAATTTTACTGTCAAGCAGAGCCAATAGGGCCACAATGTTAAGTGCTCTGCATAAAATCTCACCTGACTATTCAATTACCACACTTCTTTTTCATCAGTCACACTTCTGACAGTCTCCGACTTGCTCACATTTTCCTTCTAGTATCTATACCTTTGAATCTTCCTCTGTGTAGCCCCTCCTCCTATAACATGGTGCTTCTCCAGGTGACATTGCAGTCTTCTTCTTCAACACATCCTCTTTGAGGCATTTCATCCCTCCTTCCCCCACTGTAGCTTTAACTTCCTTTAATATGCAAATAACTCAGAAACTCCTTCTTGGGTATCAAATTCATACTTCTAAATTATCCAAAGACATCTCAAATTTAACAGGCTTTAAAGTGACCTCATTTGCTTCCCATCTAACTTTTTTTTGTGTGTGTCTTCTCTCAGATAATATCATAATTTTTCATGCAGAGAACCCAAGTTAAGAAAATTTTTTTGCTTAAAACTAAGGTAAGGGTTGCAGATCAGTGGTAGAGCCCTTGTCTAGAATGCAGGAGTACCCTGTGTTTATCCCTAATATCACAAAAAACCAAAAACCAACCAAACAAAAAAAACCCTCCCCTCAAATCTATCTTCCTCATTTACTCATTTACGTATGAAATCTATCACAAAATTATGCCTTGGAATTCAATCTGTTGAATCCAACCTAGGAACTCTCCTTAAATATGACTTTCCTTTTAATTCCTGCTACTACTACCTAACTTCAAATCTTCTTCTCATTACCAATAATCCTACAGCATGATGGTCTCCCTGACACCCAGTCTCTCCCCAACTCCAGTTCATTCTCATTCTGCTGCCAGAGAAATGCATCTGGTCAGTAATCTGTTTATAAATCCCTGATGCCTGTAAGATGGGAGTCCAAGCTCCTTAATATGGCATGAAGGACTCTTCAAACAAGAGCACAGCTTCATCTCTACCATTTCAACCAAGTTTAAAAATGAGTTTTTTTCCTCAAATAAAATAAATATTGCCCATAATTTTAACACTCAGATAATCTTCAAGGAAATTCTTAAAGATTAATTCAATCAGCAAATATTTAATGAGTACCTACCATGTGCCAGGCATAATTTTAGAATCTGGGAATGCAGTGCCAAATAAGGTAGACAAAACCCCTGCTCTCACAGAGGTAATATTTAGTCACAAAAGAAAATAAGACCATAAACAAGAATGCAAATAAGTTAAGACAATTACAGACAGCAAATGAGAAAATGATATGCTGGTGGCCAGATGATTTTAGATCATGTGGGCTGGAAAAGTCTCTTTGGAAAGACAATATGAGATGGGAAAAAAGAGTCAAGTCACTGTGTGAAAGCCATGACAGAAGCAGCAGCAACTATAGAGGTGCTGCAAAGGAAGAAACCTCAGAACTGTAAAAGATAGTCCAACTAGACCTCAGCCTATGAAAGGAAGAGAGATTCAAAGTAAAGTTATACAGGGCAGAAGAGGACATTGATTGGTTACAGTAAAGAGGATAGATTTTATTTCAAGTGCAATAGGATGCTATGGGGGAAGGGGTGGGGTAGATGATGAAGTAGCAAAGTATATACAGGGTAAGAAAAATAAAAAATTAGAGGAAAAGGTATAATGAAAAGTAAAAGGTACCTTTTCCCTTTCTCATCTCTAAAGTTAAATCCTGTTGTAATTTATTTTTTTCATATCTTTTCAGGTGTTATTTTAATGTATACCTCCAATATTATATTATGGAGAGCCATTTAAAAACACTACTTTCAACAGAACCTATGACATGTTCCTACCAAAAATGTGTAACTTGAATCATCAAGACTTTCCATATGATTTCCAGTTTACAAGAAATGCTGAGAAGAGAGAATAAATTAAATAACAAAATTAGGAACATCCAGAAGGTTGAGCATTCTGCAGTGTCATTAGTCTGACATGTTTAACAGGTAAGGGTCCTAACTAATAAAGAACCAACCTAGAATAAAACTGACTCAGGTAGTACCCTCTTTTTTTCTTTTTTTTTTGCAGTACTGGGGTTTGAACTCAGGGCCACTCCACCAGTCCTTTTTTGTGATTTTTTTTTTTTTTTTTTGAGATAGGGTCTCTCAGCTATTTGCCTTGACTGGCTTTGAACCACAATCCTCCTGATCTCTGCCTCCTCTTATTTATAGCTCTCATTCTAGTACAGCACCTGGTCCATGGGAATCACTTAAATGACTTCTGAGTGAATAAATTCTACCTTTATGCTCCTTCACCACCAAAAAAATACTTCATCTAAAGAGACATCTGGACAACTGAAGGAAGTATCAGTACATATGGATGCATTAAACTAAACTGCAGAAACTGCCATTTACTACTTTATATAGACAAATCTAGATTAAATTAATAATGCAAGTAACATAGACTTGCCAGCAGGCAAATAATCCTGTTGCCTCCACCTTCAAATATAACCCAAAACCAAATCTGACTGTTCTTCTACCAGCCTAACACACAACCACTATTATCCCTTACTAACACTCCAACAAGAATGTTCTGCTCCTCTTAAATTCCTACAAGTCTATTTCCAAGGGGCTCTCAGAGAAATCTGGTTAACACATAAGTCACATCACACTGCTTCCCTGTTCCAACCTTTCCAGGCCTTGCCATTGCCATGGTCTCTCATCTTCTAACACTCATTAAAAAATAAGATCAGCGTAACAGGGATGCAGCACTATTAAATTCAACAGGAAGAATGACAATCTTTCTTGGTATTTATTTATCTATTTTTTGGTGGTACTGGGGTTTGAACTCAGGGCCTCAGGCTTGCTAGGCAGGTACTCTACCACTTGAACCACTCCACCAGCCCTAAGCACACTTACTTTCTTTTACAAAAGTTAGCATCATTTACTCAAGACAGTACTATCACTTCAACAACACTGAAAAGATCATCCACAATCTGTTCCCACAATCTCTCTGTGTAAACAAACTGGAAGCTAAAATCAGTCATGAAGAAGGTACTTGTTAAAAAAGCTTCGAGAGTTGGAGGTAAGAGCACTGGCCCAGTAAGCACGAAGCCCTAAGTTCAAACCCCAATGCCACAAAAAAAAAAAAAAAAAAAGGATACGCATTTCAATTCACTAACATTTTCAACATACACTTCATAATTTTCAACAGCTGAACACCAGTTGCTCACACCTGCAATCTAGCTACTTGGGAGGCTGAAATTGGGAGGAATAAGGTTCGAGGCCAGCCCAGGTTAATAGAGACCCTTATCTCTGAAATAATCAGAGCAAAATGGACTGGTAGTGTGGCTCAAGTGGTGGAGTACCTGCTTTTGCAAGCGTAAAGCTCTGAGTTCAAACTCCAGTCCACCAAAAAATAAACTTTCAGTAATTTTGAGGAAATTTAATAACATAAGAGGTCTTATGTTATGACCCTAAATCCATTAAGTAAAAAGGTAAACAATGTTTTTTTATACTGCAATGCCTTCTGTAGTGGTAAAGTAGGTTCAATAACTTCTCATTCAAAGAAAGAGATTTTATAAAGGTGCAATTACATGAAGTAATCACACTTACACTTACTTGAAAACTATAAATACAAAGTCAAAGATGTGGCAGTTATAACCAGCTTATACCTTATATACTTCTTTTACAGTTAGTGACTACTGTGAGAAAAAGCTTATAGATATGAAGTATAAAAATACTCCAACCTTTTGATTTCTTTACATCAGGTTCAGGCTCAGATTCTCGGATGAACTGCCCCAAGTCACTGACTCTTCCAAATGTCATTTTCCTAAGTAAGGATGAAAAGAAGAATATAACTTCTAACAATCAAAATCAATTTTAAAGTATCCCATCTAAATCTAGACAGTTATTCCATGTCATTCAAGGTAGGACTATTTGAAATAGAACCTTCCTCACAAGAAAGCAAAGTAATTCCAGATGGGCACCAGTGCTCATACATGTAATCCTAGCTACTTGGGACACTGAGATCAGGATGATCTTGGTTCAAGGCTAGCTCATCTCCAAAACAACCATAGCAAAATGGGCTGGAGGTGTGGCTCAAATGGTATAGCACATGTTTTGCAAGAGTGAAGCCCTGAGTTCAAACCTTAGTTCCACCAAAAAAAAAAAAAAAAAAAAAAAAACCCAACAGAAAACCCCCCACTAATTTAATGCAATTCCATTCAAAATTTCAAGTAAATGAACCACTCTTTAAGAATAAATGTCATGAGGAATTAACTCATTTGGCTTACTGACCAAAGAAAATGTGATTAAATGACCTTTTATCTTTTCCAAAGTTCCTTGCACACTTCTCAGTAAAAGCAATTAGACATGTTGAAATCCCTCTTTCATGGTGCTGAGATGGGTAGAAAATGGGGCAGGGTATCAAGTCTACACAGTTTACAGATTTATCAAACCATCTTTAGGGAAGAGGAAGTGATTTTATGGCTTGACTGTTGTAAAGTTCATTAAGTGATATATCTATGTATCACTGTCTTTCTGCTCCAGGCTAAGATAAACACCGAAGTTAATTCTTAAATACAAAGGACTAATTTTATCCCATTTTCCAAGTATTAGTTATATAGCCCACAATAAACGAGGTTGGCATCTTTTTACCTTAATATCTTTTAAGATCAAGACTTTGAAAAAGCTAACATATGAACCACATGAAATGTGTGAGACAGATAAGACTGGAACATACTCTATAAATAGGACACTCAGTAATCTGTATATGATGATAGAATACAAATGGTAAAGTTGTACAGGAAGCCTTTGGTATTTGTGTTATATGGTTCCAAGGAGACCGCTGTTGAGAAAAAACCCATGAATGCTTAGGGGGAAGAGTTCAGTACTCTAAAATTACTCACATTTACCTTTAACATACACACAGTAGATCTGAGCATCCTTAACTTGAAACTGCACTGAGAAGGCTACACTACCACAAAAACTACTGTTATACACATTAATACTGCTCACCAAAACTAGATCTTATTTCATACTCTTTATCTCAAATACCATGAGTGCTTGATTCATTTTTCCCTTAATGCAACCCAACTTTTACTAAAGACATACTACCTTTCAACAAATCTGAAATTTTCACTTTATCACTTAAAATTAAGTGTATTATATGCTCTTTTTGGCTTGGGAAGATTACCGTAATTTTTACCTTGCTGTTTGGGCGGTATATTTTTACAAAATTAAGGGCATGGAAACACTCAGCGGATCACACAATTTAAATGTAGTTGACGATAATGTGGGATTGACAGAACTTCTCCAAATCAACTGATCTGCTTAATTTGTGTGTGGGAATTGAAAACTTTTGTTTTTGAAATTTCATTTGTTTATTTATTATTTTTTGACTGTGGTCAAAACCGTTTATAATTCATGAACAAAGCAGGCTTACCGTATATGGAATACTTAGTAGGTATTAGGCAACATTTTAAATGTTTTTAAAAATGTTATCTAATTTATTTCTCTCAATAACCCAATGAAATAGTAACATTTTTTTCATTTTATAGGTGAAAATGAGACAAGAGGTTAAGCAGCTTGCCCAGAATTAGCAGGGCCAAGATGAGAACTCAGGAAGTCACTCACTTTTTTTTTTTTTGGTAGACAATGGAGTTTGAACTCAGGGCTTAACCTTACAAAGCAGGTGCTCTATCACTTGAGCTACACCTCTAGCCCATTTTGCTCTGGTTATTTTGGAGATGAAATCTCTCCAACTATTTGCCTGGGCTGGCCTTGAACTTCAATCCTCCCAGTTTCAGTCTCTCAAGTAGCTAGGATTACAGTTGTGAACCACCATCACCTGGCTCCAGAGCCTACTTTAAACACCACATTACAATGTACATGAAATTGCTGGGCATATACCAACAGACTCAAAACTATTTAAAATTTAATTAAAAAATTTAAAAAGACGCTAAGTTCTTTATACTTGTAAACAGTTGAGACATAAGCTAAGCTTACCCTGCATATGTCCGTTGATATAAAGACTCTGGATCCAGACTTGCAGCATCCACAATTATCGCTTCATCAAAATTTTTCAGAATTTTAATACTGGCTTTTTTCACACTGGACTATAACAGAAATTGTAAAATTAGTAGTAAGTTATTCAGGAAACAAATCAGTTGTGAGTTTGGAATATGAAACTCTTCAGTGTTTCAAGTGTATAATTTTTACTGAACTCCCTCATTTTTAAGAAGATTAATGGCAATGATTCTGAAATGTATCCTCAAATTATAACTACAGAAGGAAGCACAAGATTAAAATGTGCCAAACCTATTCTCTCTCTCTCTCTCTCGTGCACATCTGCACAGCAAGCATGAAGCCCCAAGTTCAAGCTCCAGTACCACCACCAAAAAACCCCACAAAAAACAAAGACTTTTACAAGACATTTACCTTCCCACTGAAAAATCACATATTCTTTTTATTTTTGTCTATCAGTTTTTCTTTTTAAAGAAAATGTTTTATTAGTAAATAATAGTTGTACGAGGGTTTTATTGTGACATTTCCATACATGCTTACAATATACCCCAGTTTGGTTCATCTCATTGTTCTCCCTCTCCTCCCTCCCCCTTCTTAAAATGGCTTTCACAGGCTTCAATGTTCATACATATTTATATATGTGTAGAAAATATACCAACCATATTCACCCTCCTTTACCCTCTTCTTCTCCCTAGTGCCCTTCCTGAACATGATCTGCTTTACACTCCTGTCCTTCATTGTTTCAGTGTCTGTTCACTGTTCAGTGGGGTTTTGCCTTGGTACAAACCTATTTCCTTAACGACTTATATTCAAACAAATATGCTGTCCTTATAGGCATTATGTCCCCAGTGTACAAAACTCTCATCATCCAGGCATTCATACCTTGGCTAACAAATATAAAGTCCAACTTTTACAGGGTAAACAACCATGAATGTTTTTTATTCTCAGTGAGGCCATGTGACAGAAAGAAGCTAAAAAACATTTTCTATAGTGGCTAGTTAGGTAAATACAGGAAATTGCCCTCCAGCATTTTATCTCCTACTCCTCCACACACACAAAAAGCCAGTCAGGATTGGTATCTTTATGAAATACTTATTATGGGTTGACCCAGAAATTCTGCTCCTAGAAATACAATTATAGACAGATTCACACTTATGTGAGATGACTTATATATGCTTGTTCTCTGTAAGGTTGTTTAGACTAGCGAAAGGGAAGAAGTTTAATATCCACAGACATTACAAATTAAATAAACACAGTGAATAGCCACTTAGAGAACTCTCCATAGTGGGAAGAAATCGTGTTTCTTTATATGCAGAAAAGAAACAATCTCTAGACATAGAATTAAAAAAGAAAACAACACTAGAATAAAGGACTACATCCAAATTAATTCTAGGAGACCACTGCTACTCAGATTCCAAAGTCAGGCATCACAAGAAAACTAAGACCAATTACTCTATGGAGTGCAAGTAATATCTCATGAATATAGATATAAAATCCACAATAAAACTGAAGCCAGCCATATGACCAAGTGGGATTTACTCTAGGAATGCAAGGCTGGTTTAACATCTGAAAATCAATTAATATACTATATCATATTAATGGAATGAAACTCCAAAACCTACATGGTCATCTCAATTGATAAAGAACAAATAGTAAAATCCAATACTCTTTTGTGATTACAAAGAATATGAATAAACTTTCTCCAAAGATAGAAGATAGGCCAATAAATACATAAAAAGATGGTCAACATCATTAGTCATCAGTGAGATGCAAATAAAAACCATAGTAAGACAGAACTTTACATCCACTGAGATGGCTATAATCAAAATGATAGATAGTAAGTTCTGTTGAGAACTTTCACCACAGAAAGTAGAAACCTCATACACAGCTGGTGGGATGGCTAAGCAGTGTACTTTGGAAAGCACTCTGGCAATTCCTTAAAAAGTACTCATAGATACAATGCCACAAATGAAAACATATATCCACACAAAAATTTGTGTTACAAATGTCCATGGCAGCATTATTCACAGAAGCAGAAAGGGTGGAACAATTCAACTGATAATATAAAATATGGTACATCTTTAGAATAGATATTATTTAGTCATAAAGAACAAGGTTCTGATGTATGCTTTTAAACATGGACAAATTTTGAAAATATGATGCTAAATGAAAAAAGTCGGTTGCAAAAGACCACAGATTTTATGGCTCCATTTGTATTAAATGACCAGAATAGGCAAATCTATGCTCTCTACAGAGACAAAAAGCAGCTCCTATCTAGAGCTAGAGAAGTTAGACATTTAAAGTAAATGAGGTTTCTTCTCAGTATTAAAAGCTGTTCTCAAATTGACTGCAGAAATGGTTAATACAACTCTGAATATACTAAAAATCACTGAATTATAGAATGTAAATGTGAATTATCACATAAAGTTAGGTAAAAAAAGACAAAGAATATATAGTACGATTTTATTTGTAACATGATAGTAGCCACTGTCCTGACATGGTAGCATAGATTAGCATTATGTTTTCTTATCATTTTCTTTTATGCATTTATTCATATGTGCATACATTGTTTGGGTCATTTCTCCCCCCGACCCTCACCCCCTCCCTCCCCTCCCATACCCCTTTTACTTATCATTTTATAAATGAAATTTATAAGGGAAAAAAGGTTCTTGGAAAGAGTCTTATTGATGGTAATAAAATTGTACTATTTTATAAAATAAGAAACTTATTTAAGACTCAGTATCAAAAAATGTAGTAATAGTGATATGAAAATTATTAACCTATATTATTAAACTCTGGTGAAGAACAATAGACAGAACATTTCTGGATCTGCCAGTTATTGTGTGATTTCAATAAAATCGGTTAACTTTTTAACGTCTCCTTTTGATTTCTTGTCTTGGGAATACTTAACTTTATTTGATTTTGGGGAGGATCAAGTAAGGTGTGATGTATGACCACACTCAACAAAACTCCCCACTTTAGTTCAAAATGAACGTAAAAGGTCTTGGAGTGGCATACAATATCAAGAAACCAACTAAGTACACAAAGAACTCTTCAGATGCTATATTTTTTCACTTCAAGTATTTGATTATTAAGAAAAGCCAGATGGTGTCAACCAGATTAATGACCTGAATGGAAAAGTATATTTTACAATATAGGTTTACAATGTAAATTTAATCAACACACATACTTTGATTAGAATTTATAAAAAATAGGCTAATTTTATTTCTTTTTTATATCTGTCTCTTAAAAGTCATAGATGGAGTCTATTGCTGGTATTTGAAGGAAACCATTTGTATGTCTTTCTTCCTAATGGTAGATTCAAATCAGGCAATACCTGAGAGGTGGAGCTGTCAGAACCTCCTGAGTGAGACTCTTCCGGAAGGCCAACAGAGCCATGAGCAGCCAGTGAAACATTCCCTCCGAGAAATTCATCTCCTCGAACTGAATGGATGAGGTCATTCAAATACTTATAATAAAGATTACTGGACAAAAAGCCAGGCAAAAAGACCTGAAAAAGAAGAAAAACATCAAAGTTGAAAATCAAATGCACCTGATACTTTATTTTAAATAAACTTTACCTATAACTCTACCAGTTAATACAAATGTTTATACTTCTTGTAACAGAGTATTTGTTCATTTTTCTTATTACATTCTTAGTATTATCCCTTTACACTCCAAAATTACAATGCATACAATGTTGTTGGTTTTTCTACCCCAAAACCTTGTCATGAATACTCAATACTAATATATACATACATAATATATACATACATATATATATGTATATATATATATGTATGTATATATTATGTATATATATATATATATATTTTTTTTTTTTGGTGGGACTGGGGTTTGAACTGAGGGTGTTAGGCTTTCCAAGCAGGTACTCTACCACTTGAGCCATACCTCTAAGTCCATTTTGGTCTGTTTATTTTGGGAGATGAGGTCTTTTGAACTATTTGCCTGGGTTGACTTCAAACCACAATCCTCCTGATCTCAGCCTCCAATGCAGATAGGATTATAGGCACAAGCCACTGGTGCCCAGCTTGATACTAATACTTCTTAGTGAGCAGAAAACAGTTTCCAACTAGATTTTTTTGGTTTGTTTGGGAGTGGTTCTCCTTCTCACTTTAGAGATGACCTCTTTCAGTCTACTGAAAATGTATTCTTTTCCTAATAAGCTTTACTATTACTTTCATTTTAAAAAAAGTCTTTGGGGATATGCTGATTTTTGCTTCTGAATTAATTTCCCTAAGATAAATTACCCAGTATATGACTGCTGAGTTAAGTTTTAACCTTGGAATATATGCCCAATGTACTCTGAAAAGGACATTATCAATTTCTGTCACTAGCAGTATCAAAATATCTGTTTCTATACATAAACTTTCCAATGCTGGGTTATGAGACTCCCCCACCAATCACTGTTACATAAATGCCTAATTGCATAAATGTTTTTATTTGCACTCAGGAATTATTAATGATGCGAAGTTTCCATGTTTACTATTTGCATTTTCTATTACAAACTTCCTTCACAGCACCTAGCACAACTGGAAATATTTATATCTGTATTTGGTATGTGTCTTTGTTGCAGACTTAGCGCCAGAGGGTTAGAAACCAAGTTTTTTTTTGTTTATCAATGTAACATCAATAACTAGTATAGAAATACTCAATGTATTTATTGAATGAACCATTAATGCCCTTTCCCCACTTATCTAAAAGGATTCTGCTAGTGTTCCTAAAATTAGTGCAAGTTCTTTATCTACAAATGTTTAATAAGAACTATTTCTGCTCTTTTTTTCCTCCTGTGGTACTGGGAATGGAACGTAGGACCTCATACATTCTAGGCAAGTGCTCTATCACTAAGTGACATCCCCAGCCCTTTATTTTTATTTTGAGACATGTTCTCCTTAAGTTGATCAGGCTGGCCTCAAACTTGCAATCCTTTCCCTTGGCTCCTAAGTAGCTGAGATTATAGGAATATATACCCATGCCCAGTTGCATTTTTCTAAATATTTTATCACGTAGAAAGTTTACATTCTTGAGGATTTTTTTTTTTGTGGTATTGGGGTTAGAACTCAGGGCTTCATGTTTGCAAGGGAGGCACTCTACCACTTGAACCCCTCAGCCAGCTGTAAGTTTATAATCTTTGTATGCTACCAATCTAGACTTTTCCTCTAAAATCAGAAAATCTTTAATTTTAATCATGAAAAAATTATTATCTCTCGGTAATTATTTTCTATTACATTACTTTCAGCTTTTCAATGATCTGACTTTTACATATTATTCTTTTATATTCTGTTTTGCAGATGTATTATGTAAGAGTGCTTACTTAACCTTTTTTCACCTGGATTCACCTGACATGTATCAGCAACATAACAGACTTACCCTAGGCTATGTGAAATTCCTAGGAAAATCTAGTTCATTAGAAAATAACTAATTCACAAGTTTAACACTTTCTTTTTAATAAGCTATTCGTGACTCTTTGTTAACAATCATGACACTTATAAAACTAGTGTTTCAACCTTGATGACAGATACTGGTAAATATTTGTCTCATATTGCTATTTAACTAGTAATAATTATCATAATAACAATAATAGCAGTTATATTTTTTAATAGTTACCATATACTGTGCACTAAGTTAATAAGCATTTTATATACATTACCTTGTTTTAATCCTAAAAATAGCTTTGATATTACCCTACTTTACAGATGAGGAAAATGGCATTAGAGAATTTCAGTAACTGTTTGGGTTCCCTAAGCCTGCAAAAGTGAAGATTAATACATACCAAGTCAGACTCAAAGTCTCTGCTCTTAATCACTATGCTGTACTGCTTCAATTTTCCCATGTTAAGTATGGCTTTTCCCATGTTATACTTTCTGAGTTCCACCAGTAAAACTTCGTGTAATTTAATCCTTTGAAGATCTTGGTTACCTTCTCCATGGTTGTCCAGGCCTGACGCAATGGAGTTGTGAAACAGTTAGGGAGTGGTCCACCTTCCCTGCAGATATTGGATTCAATTTCTAATCGTACAACATCATCAAATCCGAGAGGATGTGTGGCTTGGAGAGAGAAGTACCTATGGCAGAAAGACATCCAAAGTAAGACAAAATTCCATAGCAAGTATAAGCAACTTTTGGCACCTACACTAGAGAATCCTATATGGAGCTATATGATTCAGCTGCAGACTGTGTACCATACTGCTGGTGATGACAACCCTACTATATATAACTTTTGTTTATACCTACATCCTCAAAGATAATTGGATCAACTTGCTACCTTCTTATATGCCTTCCAACCATCCTTAGTTCCTACCAAGCCAACTCTGCCATTGTTTAACAGCTCTGATGTACTTTTTTGGTGTTGTCTTTTTGTTTTGTTTTTCGCAGTACTATGTTTTGAACTCAGGACCTTAGATTGCTAGGCAGGTACTCTACCACTTGAGCCATTCCACCAGCCCTGTTTAACAGCTTTGAGAGTCAGGCTACAACAAAGGCAAAGAAATCAATCAACCTCACACATTTAATGAGCACCTATTCTCTGTCCAGGACTTAGCAGATAGAAATGGGTTCATGAGAAAGTAAGATATGGTATTTCCCCTGAAAAGACAGCAGAAAAGAATTGTGCATAGGATACAGTGAGAACGGATCACCCTAACTATGAAGAACAAGCAATAAACATGTAGGAATTAAAAACAAATGGCACTGAAGGCAAAGTGAATGGATTTGATGTATTTGGAGAACTCATAGGACCTGCTGATGATTTGGCACAGAAAGGAAAAGGAGCAGTTAAAGAGAACTCAAAGATTCCTAATTTTATGGAATATAGCTAATGCTTTGTTAACATGATTATTAAGTGGATACAAAAAAATGATCTCTCTTAAGCACTCTAGAGGTTTATATCTCCTGTTTATGGCAGAAACATAGAAGGGCTGATGATGCACATATAGAATATAACAATAAACAAGCAGGGAGTTGTAAAGTCAAATCTAGAACATCAAACTTGACAAAATGACAGCACCACTGGGATGTCAGTCCTCTTCATTTAAAACCGGCTCCCAAGGTGAAAATGAGATCCAGTAGGAAAATGGTCTTGCTCCATATGGTTACTGAGCTCCAGCGAGGAGCTAGTGCCACTGTTCTATTCCAATATAAAGAAACCCTCTCTTTTTTAATCAGTATTTTCATAACAAAAAGTGAGTCTTCCTTATTGTAACCAGTAAGTTAGTAAATAATTCTTTGTGATTAGAATTTTCAGGTACTGCAGACAAAATTTCCAAATGTAAACTCTTGCTATTTCAACAGTCATTAACATTGTTTCTACAATATCTTCCACAAATGTATTACACTAGAATAAGCACTGGACAGAATACTAAGAATTGTATTCCAGTCAAAGTTCTGCCACTAACTTGCCCTATGACTTTTAGAAAATCACTTCCTCTCTAGGCTTTAATTTTCTTATCTGCAAAATGGGGGGAAAAAAATCAGACTGGATCTCCCAATCTGGCTATCCATCAGAATTATCTAGAATATTTTCCAAAAATAAAGATTCCTGGGTCACACTTCAAACCAGCTGAATCAGAATCTCTTGGAGAGGAGGAGAAGAAACCTATTTTTAACAAGCTGCTGGGTGACTCTTTTGCAGACACAGCTTGGTGTGAACCTGCAGTCTGATGTTCAAGAACCACTGGCCTAGATGTTCTTGGTCCTCTTCCAACCCTAACATCCCATGGAGTTCTCTTATCCTCAAGTTGCTTGTGGATACAAATACCAAATTTCCTCACAAAGTGAGAAAACTAAATGAAAAGGATTATGGAATTGGCCACAGTCTTATACCCCTGAGCAGATGTTTTCAATTCCATTCACTGTTTTTCCTAATCTCTTGTTTTCAGTGAGAATTAATGAAAAATCGGCTCAGGGATAGGTTTGAAGTGTGACCCCGGAATCTTTATTTTTAGAAAATATTCCAGATAATTCTGATGAATAGCCAGATTGGAGATCTAGTCTGATCTCTCCCCCCAACCCCCCACCCCGCCCTGCCACACTTCATTTTACAGATAAGAAAATTAAAGCCTAGAGAGGAAGTGATTTTCTAAAAGTCATAGGGCAAGTTAGTGGCAGGACTTTGACTATTTTCAGACTATATGCAGTCTGTTCCAATTAGTTTCATGTTCCTTATATTCCTTATCCCTTTTATCCAAATTCAAGTTTCTTTCTTTCTTTCCTTGTGCTAGGAATGATGGAATCCAGGCCCTTGGGCATGCTAGGCTCAGGCTCTATTACTGAGCTGTACATACTATGTCCCCAAACTCAAGTTTCTTTAATGTGCCACGTTCTCTCAAGTTTCAATGACTTTGCTGTGTGCCATGCCTTTGCCTAAATTTTCTTTGCTACTTTCTCTGTCTGGAAAAATCCAATTTACTCTTCAGGACTCAAATTAAATATTTCTTCTGTGAAACCCTCCCTGAACACTGCCGCTATCCTGCTTGCCACATATCAACACTTCCTTTTCCCAACAGAAACTTGTTTTAAGACTTCCACAAAGCTTTACATCTACCATATGCAAATCAGTTTTTGTGCTGTCCTCTGTAAACTCGACAGAGGAGACTGAGTTTATTCATCTGTATTTCCATGATCCACAGCAAATGCTCAATAAATATCTACTAAATGCATCTACCAACCAAACTCACTTGTCATATAAAATCATGGCATCATTCTGTGCCTCCTGTCCATCATACTGTCCCTTTTTGGCAGCAAGCTGAGACTGGAAGTTATCTGCTGCCAACCAGAACTGTAAGATATTCACTGCGTCTTCTTTTTCCATGTACTAGGAAGGAAAAAAATACAAAAAAGGAAAATAGACTGAAAACAGGTTTCTCTGACCATCTGTAATCTATAAGCTCCAAGTATTAAAATACAGGACATAAGCAAGAAGCAAAAAAGATCCACTTCTTCACTGAACATCAGTCAGCAATGTAAGTCATTTGAGGAAGACAGCTTTAAAGTATGGTTTTAGAAGGAAAAAAAAAATCACAAAACCCTAAAATTAGCAATAAAACCACTACAAATAGCTGGATGCAAAGTTTAGTGAACTGAAGTAAAAATTACACTAAATGGGATTAGCAGTTCCTACCAGCGAACATATAATGAGCTAACCAAACCAAATCAAAGTGTTTATACCTGATCATTTCCATCGTTCCACAAGAGAGGACAGATTAATCTGAACAAATGCTAAAAAACCAAGTCAACTGAGTATTCTTGTGAAGAGGCAAATCCAAGTGTCTTGGTTACTGCTTTATGAGGTTGGGAATCCTCTTAGTAGCCATTTGCTTTACAGCAAGAGAATTTCACTTGCTGGAGGCTAGTAAATACCATTATAGAAAACTGTATGCTTCAAAGAAGCTAATGTACTTATTATTTGTTGCAAATGCTTCACAGGGCAATCCTATCAAGCAGTAAGGTAAAATAAAAATGAGAACAGGAAAAAAATTCACTGCTCTTCCTTTTCTCTTGTAAAGTCTGATCTGCAATTATTTGTGCACTAGAATTTTAAGAGCTCCAATTAGTTAAAAATATGCATTCTCTTATCAGCGGTAGCATAATTAGGTTTTTCAACACTAAGAACTAATTTACACGGAACTTTCATGTTCTCTTTAATTCGATAAATATGCCATTAAAGTACTTCTGCCATTGGGTTAGAGGTTTGGCTCAAGTGGTAGAACACCTGCCTAGGAAGTGTGAAGCAGTTAGTTAAAACCAGGGACCACAAAAAAAAAAAAAAAAAAAAAAAGTACTCCTGCCATTAGATCATTAGATACAAGTTAAAACAATAAACATTTTTGGAAATGATTTGTTTCTTCTGTCATTTCCTATAGACAGGGCCCCAGTGCTTACAGTTAAAAGGTTGGAATGCTCTAGTAGAATGTAAAAGGAAATGGAGAATTTACCTCAGAGAAATAAAAGAGGGCTGACTCACAGAAGAGAATGTCAGCCAGGTAAACAGTTCCACTGGTCAGCACTTCAATCTGGTATTTACAGAAATGATGACTTCGCAGAAACTCACTAAAGTGCCTGCATGTGGATAAAAGGGAAAATTTGAGGGAATGACCAAGGAAAGAGCTCAACTGGGAAAAACATACTCTTTCCATAATTATCCTTTTTGAATCTTAAAGGACTAGGTCAAGACATCTCACTTCCATCTTCTTGTTCCCTATTTCTTTAGCTGTAAGTAATCTCTTCCACCTCTAAATGACTTTGTATCTCTCCTCTGATATTTAACACATGCTACCTCATGTTACAGTAACCAAAGAGCATGCCCTATTTCTTTCAATGGGCTATAACTTCCTTTCAGCCAAGTACTATATCTACCTGTGCCCTGTATAGGGCATTTAATAAATGTTTAAAGAATGCATACATTGGTTTTTTTTTAAGGACGTGCAGCAATAATTGATATAAAAAAACTCTGGAGGCAGTTTCAACAAACAGATGTGAATTTAGCTATAATAACATATACTGAGCTGAAAGCATGAGCTAACAAATCAGGATTATCTACCTAAAGACAGCATTATTTAAATAAATAAACCAATTCTAACAGTCATATGCTATAGTCTGAATCACCTCCAAATGACTTCAAAACTAAAAACAAGTTCTGTCAACTTAGGAAATAATAAATTAAAAGTGAAAATTGTTTTATCTTTAATAGAGTTCACATAATTTATATTTAAAAGAGATTTTTAACCAAGAGACGCTTAGAGCATGCTTGTACGATTTTCTAAATATTCACATTACTTAAGTCTTCAAAAATAAAACATTGTTTTTAGTTGAGTGAAGTCCAGTCCTAACACTAAATCCAAATTCCCAAGAATGCAAAGTAAAAAAATATGAAACTAACTTACTCTTGCTCCATTGCACTAAAGACTATGGCCTGTGCCAAAATGAAACAGTTGGGATCCACCTGTCCATCCTCTCCACAAATCTTTGCTGTGAAAGAAATAGTAAATAGTTAAACTCTTTTTAAATTCAAACTATACCCACTTGTGAATCAAACTTGGAAATAATATGGGGCATAAAGATAATAAAGTTTTAAGTAAAATTAAAAGAAAATATAGGTAATAACTTGAGGTAGGAAAAGTCTTCTGAGATATACACATGAAAGCAGAAATCAAAAGATTTAACAACATAAAATTGATCTTTATACATTATTCCAAAAAAAAATAGAAAGGCAAACAAAAAATCAGAGCATGTAAGATAAAGATTACTATCATTAATTTATCAAGAGCTCTTACAAACTAATAAGAAATGTCTCGAAAGAAAAATGAGCAAAGGGGGGTTGGTGAAGTGGCTCAAGTGATGGAGCACCTGCCTATCAAGTGTGAAGCCCTAGTTCAAACCCTAGTGCTGTAAAAAAAAAAAAAAAAAAAAGTGAACAAAGGACAAGACATACAACTCACAAAAGAACAAACATAAAATAGCTAACATGAAAAGATACAGGTCAAATGAAATGAAGTAATTATAGATTACAATCAGAAGCTTTTTTTTTTAAGCTTTTCTTTAGCTTAGCTTTTCTAAAGCCTATGTATAAAGTTCTTGGGTGCAGAAAGCTGCTCTGGCAGAGACACACAGCCCGCAGCAGTGTCAGCGGCAGCCAATCAAAATCCCCCTCAAAAAACCTCTCCCTCCAAAAAACCTCCTTCAGCAAGTCTTTTGTATCCAGCGGTAAACAAGAAGGTGGAGCAACAGTTCTCTGGGAGGAGACATGACATTGTGACAAGAGAAACCTGCCTTCTTACTTCTCTGAATGTAAATAATTTTGGAAAGCCTTGCCTTTGATCCCTTCTGCAGCTGGGGCCATGCCAAACTCGGTCTGTCTCATAATCCACTCCCCACAGAACTCCAACCCCAATTTACAGCCCACTGGTTGGAAGGATAGGCCAAAACCTATGCTGTGAATGGCATCTCAAGGGAGGCGGCTTAAAGTCTGAGCACTCAATCTGTGGGATCTGATGCTATCTCCAGGTAGACACTGACAGAACTGAACTGAAATAGAGAACATTCATTGTAGAATTGGTTGGTGATGGAGAAAAAGGCCCTCATATCTGGGGTCACAGAAGTCTTCTGAGTTGTAAGACTATAGTAGGATAAACTGAGTTATTTTTTCTATATCCTTACAGCAGCACATCTTCTTTCTCAAACATCTAACACCTTTTCTCCTATTCTCTTGCCTGAGGACTCCTGCATCGCTAAGAAAACAGAAGCAATAGGAAAATTATTTCTAACTTCAAACTCACCCGCATCTCTACCCATGTATTCTAAATTCTCTCATCTCACTAAAGATGAACTGTTCTTACTTCTAGATGGACTGGAGTCTTTCCTCCTTTGCATCGTTAAGACTTCTCTCCTGTGAGAAATGTCTTCTCTCTCTCCTTTATCAACTTTTCCTTCACTGCTGCCTCATTCTCAGCAGCTGCATAGACTGTATGCAATACACACATGCCTGTTTGAATGTTATCATACACTTTATATGTTTATAATACATCTCACTTGAAAAACAAAATCAAAGATCTTGTCTCTGAACTTCACATACCCTTCTAGCTCACCTTCAGCGCAATAGGCCTCATGACAATTGTCAACACTTGCTGTTTCCCTCCTTCTACTATTTTTTTAAGACTCCTCCAATTAAATTTTTGTCAGCAATAATTCAGTTATTAAGATGACCGTGTACACAGGTTTGCCAAATCCATTCAATTCCTAGTCTTCATCTTACTTAACCTGCCAGCATCATTTAACATCTTTGATCACTCACTCCATTTTTCACCTGGCCTCCAGAAAAAACGATTCTAGATATACAGTTGATGTAAAAGGACTAGTTGGTGGTTATTATTTGTTTCTTTTGCTAGTTCTTTCTCTTCTGCAGACTTCTAAATGTCAGGTGCACCCAAGGGTCTCTCTCATGTAGGCTAGATAAGTGCTCTACCACAGAACTATATCCCCAGCCTGTCCTTCTACTTCTTGTCTCCCCTCAATACACTCACTCCTTTGGTAATATGACCCATTCTGGAGGTTCTAACACTATCTTTATGTTGATGACTTCCAAACGTATTATCTCCAATCTGAACCACTATCATGAACTCCTAATGGAGGTGCCGACTTGATAGTCACTATTTGGAAGTCTACAGCCAAACTCCTGATTTTCCTCATAAGCCATTCCGCCATGGTATTTCTCAACTTATAAATAGCAATTCCGTTATTCTAGGCATTCAGTGTTTTAGAGTCATGCTTGGTTCCTTTTTCTCCTACATACCACTTACTTCTAGAGAAACAGCAGATTCTGTCAGCTATATCATCAAAGTATTTAAAAAATTCTGCTACTTCAAGGATTTGTGGAAGATGGGAGAGAAGAAGCATAGTCTCTGGATCATTCTGAATCTTCACATGAGAGAATTGAGTAATTAGACAGCAACTCTAAAACCCCATGGCTAGCACTGACAACAAAACTAGGCAGGTTGGATACATGACAATAGCTCCTTGGGAAATAATTCAGTTGAAGGACAGCTATATTAATCTATTTCAATTGCATGAGTAGATAAATAATTAGGGCAAGATTCAGAAGAATGAAGCTCAAAGAGGACAAGTAATTTATCTAAAGCCATACAGGTAATTAATGTTCTAAAATGCAAAATTGACATGGGATCAAATATTCTTAAGTCCCTTGATCATTAAATGTCATCAACTTGAACCTTCAGAAGATTTTTTTTTTCTCCTCGCGGGATTACAACATTAATTTGATAAAGTTTAAGTAAAGCAAAAATAGAACTGCAGTGACATTTCATTATAAAATGTTTCATTTGGTTCAAAACTTCTTCCTTTTCTTCCCAACCCCAGTTTGGTTACCAATTGGTACAGACTTCCAAAGGAATCACTAGCCAATCAATTCTTCAAATAGCCAAATTCTAATCACTTGGGACACCCAAGTTGTATTACTAGGAAAAGTTGGAAGTTTGGGAGATGGTAGCAGCAAACTCCCACTTAAAAATAGAGCAACTACAAAGGCAATGCAGAATTCCTTGACAATATCTGTCAATAAAACTGGGTGAAACTCCAAAACACAAGCAAATGAACCTGGGCACCAGTGACTCACATCTATAATCCTAGCTACTCAGGATGCAGAGATCAGGACGATTATAGTTTGAAACCAACCCAGGCAAATAAGTCTGTGAAACCCTATCTCAAAAAAACCCATCACAAAAAAAGAGTTAGTGGAGTGGCTCAAGGTGCAGGCCCTGAGTTAAAATCCCCAGTACCACAAAAAGCAAATAGAGACAAGCCATGAACAGTCATAAGAACTCTGTGTTATAGGTGTCTGCATAGGAGAAAGAAAAGGGAAATAGAGGCAACATCCAATGGACCCCAGAACAGCCAACAGATGCTTGCTGGGAAGTCTGGTGGGCTAGTTTAAGACAGCTGAGATCTGAAAAGGGGCATGCTTTCTTCACAATGAATGTAAAGTACTCACAAACCAAAGAAGTTCTAACTTGGAAGAATCTGGTAGGAGTGGAACAAGGTGATTTATTTTGTAAACCACAACAAATTTTTCATGAATAAAAATACAAAACTTAGTACTAGGACTTGTGGGATTATATAATAAATAATATATAATAAAATATAATAAATAATAAAGTTTATTTACAGATTTAGTATGTGCAGTTTTGACCAAGCAGAGTCAAAAATAAATAATAAAAGAAATTTCAAAAAGAAAATTTTAAATGCTTGCAGCTCAGCTGATGTGGAGAAACTCTTGGTCAGTATCACATTATTGTCAGTTGTGTTTAAATTATATGATCTGCTATTTCCCTGTCATTTATTTTATGAAAATATGCCTCTCATAAAGCAAATGGTGCTCCAACAGTAAGATAAAAGTGAATGTGCTTAATTTAAGTGATAAAGCAAAAATTTTAGATTTGTTGAAAGAAGGTATGTCTTTTTTTTTTGGTGATACTGGGATTTGATCTCAGGGCTTAACACTTGCTAGGCAGGCACTCTACCCCTTGAGCCACTCCACTAGTCCTTTTTTGTGTTGGTTTTTTCAAGATAGGGTCTCGTAAACTATTTGCCTGGGTTGCCTTAGAACTGCAATCCTGATCTCTGCCTCCTGAATAGCTAGGATTACAGGCATGAGCCACCGGCGCCAGGCTTGTGTTGGTTATTTTTGAGACAGCGTCTCACAAACTATTTGCCAGGGCTGGCTTCAATCCTCCTGATATCTCTGCCTCCTGAGTAGGGAGGATTACAGGCACCTGGCTAGGTGGCATATCTTTAGCAGAAGAGCATCAAGCTTCCACAGTATAGTACTGAACTCTATTCATCCTAAGCATTCATGGCTTTTTTTCAATGTGGTCTCCTTGGAACCAGACGCACCAGGATACCAAAGGTCTACTGTAATGGATGTTTGTTGAATCAATAAAATGAACTATCTAGTATGCACATATGAATAATAAAAGAAAAATGAAAAAAAAATGAACTATCTAAAGTCTACCTGATGAAACACAGAAGCTTTCAAATTCTTTTTCTTTACTGTGATAGATACACACACACACACACACACACACACACACACACACACACACACACACACGATAGAAACAATTTCTTAAAGTGATATTTGCCTTTTCTACTCTACAACACTTTGATTTTCACTCCTGTCTCTTTTTTTTGGCAGGGATGTGAGGGAATAAAAGAAGGTTGGGCCCAAACTACAGTATGGAAACACTGCCATATCTGAGTTGTTATCCTGGACAAAGCATTTAACTTCTCTGTGCTTCAGTTTTCTCATTTATAAAATAGTAACTACTTATCCCACAAGGCTCTTTAAAAGATTAAATGAGGGCTGAGGACATGGTTCAAGTGGTAGAACCTTGCCTATCAAGTGTGAGGCCTGAGTTCAAACACTAGTACCATCCCTCCCTCCATCAAATGAGTTTATACATAAGATGTCCTTAGAACACTGTCTAAGACATAGTGAATGTTAAAGAACTGTGCTGAATTTCAAATTCAGAAAGGCTCACTTTCATGCAAATTGGCTTCGTCAGCTAACTTGAAGAAACATGTGTATCTCCCAGAAGAAAACCATTGTGTTACAGGGAGGATCATCCAGCACATTCTTTCCCAGTGAAAACCGAGTTAGTTTTCGAAAGAATACTTCTGTCAAATAGGAAATATCAAGGTGGGGAAAGTCTCATTTTTTCAAAATAGGCCTATTCAGCTAAGTTTAAGAACCAAATGTATCTCTCAAAAGAACATCCTTTGTTGTAGAAGCAGAAGCATCAACCACATTGTTTCCCTGTGAAAATTGAGTTAGTTTGTGAAACTTAGGTGTTTCAAGGTGGAGATGGCCTCTATTTGCTGAAAACAGTTATAATCAGCAGAGTTGCTATTATTTAGGTGAAGTCTGGGAATCTGAGTCCATATGTGAGAAACACTTTTTAAGTAAGCTATCAGATATGAGAGTACTTTGAAAACAGACTAGGGAGGGAAATGTTACATTCCATATGCATAAATAATTCTTAGTTAATAATTAAAAATAGTTTTTTTGGTTTTTTTTGCCATAGCTTTGAGCACTGCTTACCTATGATGTCATTTCTCATTGCTTCTGTAATTGGTATTGGTTTAGCAGCATCTGGAGATATATATTTGGTAAAAGTATTTACTGCATCTTGCTCTATACCTGTAAGGGAAGAAGGGGACAACTTCAAAATCAAAAAGCAACTTGGATCACAGCAATGGACTATGGCTTTGTTTTCTATGTGACCTTATTACAAAACTTCCATCAAAGGTGCTTTGTAATTGATTGGATCATGGGACAAAAACCTTACATGTGAATTCTCTCTTCCAGTCTCCTCGTGAGCCAACAAGTTCCTTAATAGCAATTATCTATCCACATTCTCTTTCCATATCTGTTCTCCAAAGTCCCAACTTGCAAAGCAATGTAACAATAGGAGCCCAAAAATTATTTATGAATCTGTATTTAAAATATTGGGCTGGTGGAGTGGTTCAAGTGGTAGAGTGCCTATCTAGCAAGTGTGAGGTCTTGAGTTCAAACTCCAGTACTGCCAAAAATAAATAAACAAATAAATAAAATATTTTACTGAATTATCTCACATATATGAATATATTCATCTGACCTTCAACAAACTGGAAGGTTAAATAATGAATCTCAAATGTTTTAGACTCAGAGCTTTTCTGCAGTGTTAAAAGTTATTGTGGAGCTGGGATACCCCAGTAATAGAGCTCAGTGGTAGAGCATTTGCCTCGCACACCTAGGTTTGATCTCTAGCACTATAACAAAACAAAACACAGGCTCCTAAAGAATGTTATATATACATATTAAGGTATCAGAAACTAAAAATGAGAAAAAGTTATTTATTCAGTTAAAATAATATCACATCTTTGGGTGATCAACATAGACATTTTTATAAAAAAATAACTTTTCAAAATGAAAATATTAATGAAAAGATATTATTTTAACAATTTGGAACTCTTTAGTATTTATTTTGATGGCAAACTGTTGGTATTCTATCTTGTGCAATGTTGCTTTGGTTGAAAAATACATATACAGAAAATCTGATTTCAGAGATATGTAGCTGGAAAAAGTAAAATTCAAATAGCTTTCTGATATTACTGTGGATATATTCTTCTTTGATACTACACCAAAACTTAACAAATGGTAGTTTCTTAAAGGTTAATTAGAATGTGTCAATGAACTTCTCATATTCTTTTACATTAAAATCTACTGGCCCATCTCCTGTTCTTTTACTCAGGAATGACTTTATAATATAATACATTTTCTGCTACTTTGGAAAATACTAGTACATCGGTTTATAGGTCTTCCATATGTTGACATACTGCATCAAAAAGTATTTTTAAAAAGTATCATTAACACCACCAATGATTGTCTCAGAATACCCTTTAACACTATCAAATTACATGATGGTGGATGAAAGTTTTTCTGAATTCTAATTTTCACTTGAAAAGTTTGAACTTTATCATTGGACAACAAAAACTGTCAGGTATTTGCCTTGAAATGTCAGGCTTACTTCATTCATACCGAAACAAGTATCAGCCGAATACCCAAGTCTAAATAATCATAGTTTATAAGAAGTCATTCTTTGGAATAAATATGGTGTTCCACTAAAAAAGCAGCTAACTGAGTTCACAATCACAAGTGTGTGCTTCTTTGCGCCAACTACAATACTTTATCATTCATAAGTACTTTACGAACAATTCCCACCTCCTCACACATATTAAGAAGACAGCACATCATGTACCCAAAGGCTTAGATTTAATAAGACTAGTTATTGCTCCAAAGACATCCTGAAGAAAACTGGGACTTATTTAGACTATGAATACGTGTCAGTAAAGAATTAAGCTGCTACTACTACTACAATTTGGTCCAATGCCAAGAGGTTTTCCCCACCATTGCTCTTGTACCATCATTACAAATAGCAATGTAGTGAAAAGGACAAACAGCATCTTAGAATCATAAAAAGAACAATTCTGACCTCATGACCTCCCATGAAAAAGTAGTCTCGGGCAGCCAAGTGCTGGTGGCTCATCCCTGTAATCCTAGCTACACAGGAGGCAGATGGTTTGAGGTCGGCCCAGGCCAATAGTTTGAGAGACCCTATCTCAAAAATACCCAACACAAAAAAGGGCTGGCTTGATCACTCAAGCAGTAGAGCACCTGCCTAGCAAGCATGAGGCCCTGAATTTAAACCTCAGTACCACACAAAAAAAAAATGTCTCAGGGACCCCTTACAGGCATGCAAACCACATTTTGACAACTCCCGGATTAGCAGAACAGACTATTACCCTCATTTTTATAGAAAAGAAAATTTGTGTACAAAAAAGAAAACATGAAAGTGAGGAGTAAAAGTAAAGAATTTTTATAAGTATTTGAAGTTATCAGCTTAAAATAGATTTTTGTAAGTCTTATGTAAGCCCTGTGGTAATCACAAAGAAAATACCTATAAAAAATAAGTGAAGGAAGGTAAAAGGAATCAAAGCATGGCATCCTGAAAAAAAATCAAAAACAAAGGAAGAAGGAAAACGAAAAAAAAAAAAAAAAAAAAAAGCCTATCCTATCAATAATTATATTAAGTGAAAATGTATTAAATTCCCTAAGCAAAAGAAATAAAGCAGCTAAATGAATTAAAAGACAGTCTTTTGTTGTCTGCAAAAGACCAAAATCCTTTAGACTGACAGATACATACAGGCTGAAAGTGAAGGGATGGAAAAAAAAAAAAAAAAAAAACTCAGTGTGTATAGATATATTCCATGCAAATGATAACTAAAAGAGAGCCATACACATATCAGACAAATTAGATTTTAACTAAAACACTGTCACAAGAGATAAAGGACAGTACGTAATCACAAAAGTGCCAATCCATCAGCAAGATATGACAATTATAAACATATATGCACCCCAAATTAAAGAACCTAAATATATAAAGCAAACATCAACAAAACTGAGGGAAGAAACAGACAGCAACACAATAATTGTAGGAAAGTCAATACTCCACTCTCAGTACTTCATAAGACAATGAGACAGAAAATCAGTAAGGAAACAGGAAGTTAAATAATATAGAACAAGCAGACCTAACATATTTCACCCAACAGCAACAGAACATATATTTTTCCTCAAGCACACACACACAGAACATTTTCCCAGAAAGATCAGATGTTAGGTCATCAATCAAGTCTATGAGGCCCAACCTGTCATCATACTAACTATATAGCCCAGGCTGTCCTTGAACTCACCATCCTTCTGCCTCAGCCACAAAATAAGTTTTAACAAATGTAAAGAGAATGAATCTGAGTGAGGTTAGCCTGGCCCAAAAGACCAAAAATCGTATGTTCTCCCTCATATGTGGACACTAGATCAAGGGCAAACACAACAATGGGATTGGACTTTGAGCACATGATAAAAGCGAGAGCACACAAGGGAGTGGTGAGGATAGGTAAGACACCTAAAAAACTAGCTAGCATTTGTTGCCCCTAACGCAGAGAAACTAAAGCAGATACCTTAAAAGCAACTGAGGCCAATAGGAAAAGGGGACCAGGAACTAGAGAAAAGGGTAGATCAAAAAGAATTAACCTAGAAAGTAACACACACGCACAGGAAATTAATGTGAGTCAACTCCCTGTATAGCTATCCTTATCTCAACCAGCAAAAACCCTTGTTCCTTTCTATTATTGCTTATACTCTCTCTTCAACAAAATTAGAAATAAGGGCAAAATAGTTTCTGCTGGGAATGGGGGCGGGGAGAGGGAGAGGGCAGAGTGGGTGGTAAGGGAGGGGGTGAGGGCAGGGGGGAGAAATGAACCAAGCCTTGTATGCACATATGAATAAAAAAAAAAAAAAGAATGAAATCATAGTAAGTATTTTTCTCAACACAGTAGAATGAAACTAGAAGCCAACAATGGAGGGACAAACTGGAAAAATTTAAAGTAAGTGGAAACACATGGATCAAAGAGGAAATCAAAATGGGAATCAGAAAATATCTTGAGATAAAACTTCTGGGATGTGGCAAAAATAGCACTAAGAGGAGCATTTATAGTCAGGTACTGTTGGCTCATGCCTGTAACCCTAGTTACTCAGGAGGCAAAGATCAGGAGGACCATGGTTCCAAGCCTGCCTGTGTAAATAGTTCGAGAGACCTTATCTTGAAAAAACCTATCACAAAAAGGGCTTGGTGGAGTGGCTCAAATGGTAGAGTGCCTGCCTAGCAAGCATGAGGCCCTGTGTTCAAACCTCAATACTGCCAAAAAAAAAAAGCGTTTATAGTGCTAAACACTTATATTAAAAAAAAAAAAAGAGCTCAAATAAGCAACCTGACTGTATATCTCAAGAAACTAGAAGAAAAACAAATTAAATACAAAGCTAGAAGGAAGTAAGCAGTAAAATTGGAACCAAAATGAAGAAAATAGAGAAATCAAATAAAATAAGAACAGTTTTTTGAAAAGATCAACACAATTGATAAACCTTTACCTAGGGTAAGAAAAAAGAAAGATTCAAATAAAATCAGAAATTAAGCTGGATGCTGATGGCTCATACCTGTAATCCTAGCTACTTGGAAGGTAGGGATCAAGTAGGGCAAAAAGAGAGACCCTATTTCAAAAATACCCAACACAAAAAGGGTTGGCAGAATGGCTCTAGTAGTACAGTGCCTGCCTAGCAAGTGTGGGGCCCTGAGTTCAAACAGTTCCCTCCCTGACCCCTCAAAAAATCAGAAACAAAAAGAAGAGATTGATTTTATGTGTTTCTTTACTTTTTGTGGGAGTGGGGTCTGAACTCAGGGCTTCATGCTTTTTTTTTTAATACATATGTGCATACAATGCTTGGGTCATTTCTCCCCCCTCCCCTCACCCCCTCCCTTACCACCCACCTCCCCCTCCCTCTCCCTCCCACCCCCTTGATACCTGGCAGAAAGGAACAAGGGTTTTGCTAGTCGAGAAAGGATAGCTATACAGGGAGTTGACTCACATTAATTTCCTGTGCATGTGTGTTACCTTCTAGGTTAACTCTTCTTGATCTAACCTTTTCTCTAGTTCCTGGTCCCCTTCTCTTACTGGCCTCAGTTGCTTTTAAGGTATCTGCTTTAGTTTCTCTGCATTGAGGGCAACAAATGCTATTTAATTTTTTAAGTGTCTTACCTATCCTCATAT